GTTTTGCGGAAGTTCAAGTGTCCAGAATGTGGCAAGGCATTCAAGTTCAAACATCATCTGAAGGAGCACATTCGAATCCACTCCGGCGAAAAACCGTTCGAGGTATGTTTTCTTGAAATTTTCTAGCTTTTTTGACGCCCTGACCCCATAGCCCTCGGGCTGCGCATATCATTAAGTTTCCCCCGAACGTTTGTTCGACAAGGAGTCGATTAGTGTTAGTAGCAACGCACCTGTCCCCCCGTGCTTGTCATCATTTATCACTCCGAGCGCATCCCGGACTCCCTCACATACCTGGCCGACAAGGCAGAGTAACACACACACATACACCGACCGACCCAACAGCACCCGGTGTAAAGTGTGTCTTTACGGACTACATACATATGTTTAGCCAGTATCCACCTATCTTCCACCACCAATAGATCATTTTAAGTGGACAAATGGCTATGGGGCTGGGGGCACAGGGCTCACTTACACCTTGCTCGTTTGGGGTGAAATGATCGAGTTAAGAGTGTGGAAGGCACCACACGATGAGGCAAAAGGAGAATCGATTCTCTTCGCGACTTGTAGGATAAGTGAATAACGCACCTGGCGGCACAAATAAGGCTAGCTGCTCCCATGTGTCCCATGCACTTCTTCTCTCTGCAAATTTTTGCACCGGGGGAACATCAGGTAGGGGGAGGGATTTGCGAAGAAACCCCGCTTTGATTGAGCTGAAGTTGCACTTTTCTAAATTCCACCAAATACCAGGTAAAAACGAAAAATGCCACCAAATTCTTGATGCGTCTTCTTGGTTTTCGTATCAACGGCATAAGAACTCGGTCTTAGCGCAATGTCAACATTTTGACATTTAGAAAAACTAACAGCTGCACGTCTAAATAATGATGTCAGACGGGCAGAGCGGCTCCATTTGCAGCTGGTTAATGACTAATGTTTAGTAAAATAAAAGATTCAGGTGGTCCGCTGTTTTCATTGTGAAAAAGTTGCAGTAATTTATAGCATCTGCTAGTTTATTTTCGTGTAAATCTGACATGGATTGACAGAAAGTTTTCTCTTCATTTTCCACCATGAATTGACTTTGTTTTCCAAAAATGTTTGAGCGAATTTCGATCTTAAAAGTATTCGAAATCAAGTCGCGAATTAGAGGAAGTTATTTTTATTTCTAGCTTGAAATTTTTAATGAAAGTGACAAACAAATTCTTCTATTGGTTTATTTTGCTGAATGTAGAAATCACCACCGCTCCCACGCATTCAACTTGTTCTCATATCTCCTGACATCGCCATTTCGTTATGTTTTCTTCCGGAAACCAGACCTTTGCGTTAACATTACAGTCGGCTCTATGTGTAGGTGGTTTGCATGCGCACGGATAATGTGACTGTTAAAAGCATACCGTTTGATAGCTTATCTATATGAAATGACGAAGTGAAATGAAAAAGAAACATTCATTTACAGCGTAGGTGTCGCTCTTACCATAATGAAGCCACGCCCATTTTGTACGAGAGTGTTCGCTTGTTTTCGAGACAGTGCTTTGATTTCTGTTACTGTAGCTCTGGTGCGCCCCTCTGGCGAGGTTTTACGGCTTGCCTTCTGTTTTTGCAGGTTTCCCGTCCATTTTTGGGTTTTTCAATGTACCTGATGTAGTTATTACCGTAACCGCAGGTAGTCACCAAGGTGTGCACTATGGCGTGTGCGCGATCGGCTACCGTAATGCGTGCGCGCAAGGTGATTATTGGTTGTCGTCCAGGTAACATGAGCCGTGGACTCCCGGCCTGGTCCACTCAGGTGTGCCGTAGCAGCTGATATTGACAGCGGCCGCGACGCCCGAATGGGCTGTCTGGCGCGTCGCGGCCGCGGATTATGAATTCACGGCGCGCGAACCTGGCGCTTCCATGAATTAATGAAATGCCTCAGGGGACCTGCCGGCCTGCGCCTACCCCGCCGATGCTCCCGCCCCTTGCATACCTCAGGCCAAATATGGTGTTGTACTATCGCCGTCGCCGAACTTTGTGGGAAGGTATTTGACAGGAAATTCTTGTGATTTGAGTTGAGTTTCAAGAACAAAAATGACACTTTGTCCTAAGATATCCCATTCATTGTAACTTTGTCACTTATGAAGCGTTCCGGTGCAGAAGAAATACTAGCGGTTTACTAGAGCTCTTGTGAATGATCTTTGATCTTTGTAAAACTGCAGAGCATTACTAGAATTAGGTAGCGCGTTAATATATCACTGTTGAAGTTTCAAGGTTTTGATTAAATAGTTAGTCTTATAAATGGTATTGGAAAATGCAAATAATGCTGTTTTTTGCTTTCTACCATGTATTAATAGCATTTCAAAATGAAAGTCAATAAAACAGGAAAGTTACTGTCGGACTCAAACGATCAAAAACAGAGTAATGTTGAATTGGTCAGTCTTTTGAAACTTTGTCGAGTTAGGGGTTTTCTAAATTTTTTCCGCGCATTTTCAACTTATTTTTAATTCACGCATTCAAAACTGCTCAATTTCAAGTTCGTATCTGAATGATTCAGCCTTCTCAAAGCTATGAATCTCTTCTTAAATCTTTAGCCTTGACTTCATGGATAGACCGAAAGTTGTAGGCATCTTTCCAATTACTTTTGTCTTCTATTTCGAGACTTGAATCTCAAATTTCGCTAGAATAAAGATGTGCGATTGTTTGGTAAGTGGGCCTTGCACTTCTCCTTAAAATAGTAAAGGTTGTACAGACCAAACATAGCAGTCAAACTCAGAAGGAATCTTATTCTTGTACTATCGAGTCCCCATAAAAATTGCAAATAAATTAAAAATGGAGGATTCTTTGAGTAAATAAGGTGGACATCTAAATTTGGCAGAATTAGTTGAAAAGACCAGTTGGAGATTTCCAAATGAAGTAGAATTTCGACATCATGTCGAGTGGCAGTTTCTCAGTCGCCACTAATCCTTCACTCTCTCTTCTCGTCGTGAACACCCCCCCCCCCCCGCCCGTGTGTGCGCATTCCGTGGCGCAAGAGGTGCATTTGGTATCGTGTTATTGCTCTCTACTGGCTGAGCGCATAATTTGACAACGAGACATCTGTGCCGTGGAATTTGTTCGTTCGTTCCGGGGGCCTGTGTCTCTCTCATTCGGACGTGAATTGGCTCTAATCGAGGTGTGCGCCCGTGTGTGTACGTGTGTGTGTCCTGGCTCTTATTAGACAGAGACAGAACCGATGCCATCGACAAATCGAAGGGAAGATTTTTTATTTCAGTGTCCATCCTGCCATAAACGATTCTCACATTCTGGATCGTACTCGTCACATATGAGCAGCAAGAAATGCATACAGCAGGTGAGGGAACCTTACGAATCCAGCTAAAATGGTCCCTGAATTTTCCTATTTTCCAGACTGTGCCCTCGATGGTCCCGCAATTCAACCACTATCAGTTGATAGTCTACAGAAATCTGCTCATGCAGCTTCAGGCTCAACAACAACTCACTACACTGCCCTCCGTCGACATGAACCCCTACCTCAGTCTCATTCAACAGAATATGCTCCAAGGGGTAGGTTCACCGCACTTCTTTCCTAGTTTCCCCTTCCAAAAGGTGTTCTTTGTCCCTTTTGGAGAGGCCGAGTGGCTTGCGCCGAGCTTTGCATCAGTAGTGAGAGTATTAATTAGGTAGCTGAAGGTAGCCGGGGACGGGACGGCTGCTCTGCGCGGCCGTATCGAACCCCCATCGGCATCCCCCATTGAGCACATTTGGAGACACCTATGACTAGTAGATGGGCCGATGAATGGCTTTGCGAATGGCGTATTCGATATTGTTTATGTTATTGTGATTCTAGGTAAAAATGGGGTTGGAAAATCTTTGTTTTGGCTGCTCTCACTCACTCTTTTGTAGAAAAGGAAAAAGAAAAGTTGTGCTTGTTGCGTTAACTTTGGCGAGCAGAAGCGTAAAGAATATATGTTGATCTCCTCCAAAGTTCACGGTTTTTGATTCACAGCCTTTTAAGTAGCAAAATAATTGATTTTCGACTGAGTTTCGTTTTCGTGATTTATGAGTCACATTTTGAATGAAATGAAACTAATATATAAGCGATCCCGACAGGCGCTTTAGAATTAGGTAATGTTTTTTGGAGGGATGAATCTCTTAAATTGTTTGAATTTTTGCCCCGTTTTGCTTGCTCTTCTTACTATTTTACTGTATTTTACAGTAAAGCTCTATCATTAACTTTTGGTCTATTTTCAGATAGCCGACGCTGTTCCAACCTCTCCTGTGCCAACGTCTCCTTCATCTCTTCTGTCTTCCTACCTTAACTCAACAATCTCCTCTGAAAGTAGTCCGCCCCGTTCGGAATCCTCCCCGGATGATAAGAAGGATAATAAGGAGATCAAAAAGGAGGAATCGGTCAGTCAGCCAATGTTTTCTTAATAGAATTTCTCAAGATTGTAAATTTCCAAAATGAAATACCATTTCTCGGTGATATTTGTTAAGACTCTTTATTTCAGAATGAAAATGGTGTGGGTGAACTTGAAGTTTCTGTTGGAAATGAGGTGATCAACGATGCGAAGACGTCACCTCAAGATTGGCGTCCGCTTCGATCTCGATCATTTTTGACCGATGCGCAGGTATATTTTTGAAAAAAATTGAAGATTATAAATGAATTACTGTTGGCATTTTTAGGTGACCATTCTTAGTAATCACTTCAAGCGGAATCCATTTCCATCAAAGTACGAGTTGTCCGCTGTCGCAGAACAGATTGGTGTGAACAAGCGTGTAGTTCAGGTACTGTTCTACTCTACCGTAACCATTGACCTTACCAAACTTACCGTAACGTCTGCGTTCGAACTCACTTTCCCATACCGTGCTCGGCGCGTGTCGATGTCTCAAAGTATTGTTTCAAAAATTTCGTCAGTGAAAAAGCCGGCGATGGAGAGTTTTGCAAAAGGGCAACCAGCCCGGCGAGCAATGCTTCCTCACTTTTGAAATGCCCTTAGTGTTGACGTTGGCGTTCCTGTACTTTTGGCTCTGCTACCTCCTGCCAAGGGCACGGGAGGGTGTGAGCCCCGGATTGGTTGCCATTCAATCAGGTATACGGAATGGAGGAGAGAAAAAGCTGCTTTGCTCGTGTACAGCACCTGCGTCCGAGCTTTTTTCGTGAGGGTGTTTTTTTGTTTCGACTGCCGACCAAATGTTTTCGACCTGGGATGGTTGAGGAGATTGTTTAGGAGAGAAATCGGAGGAAGTAACGAATGAATAGGTGCTAATTAGGAGGGCAAGAAACATATCAAAATCGTATACTTGTCTTCTTCTGTGGTTCGCCAGTGATTCCATAGAGGGCCTTGTTTTTGTTGGAAACTCAGATTTTTCTTCACCTACAGTATACTGTATGTTTTCAGGTTTGGTTCCAAAACACCCGAGCGAAAGAACGTCGAAGCAACCGACTTCCGCCGCTTTCGCGAATGCCTTGGCCTTTATCAGCGGCCACATCTGCCTTACCTCACCCGAATGCTGCCCAAATCATGTCCGTCTGGGCACAACAATATTCTGCCCTTGCCTCGCAGGTTCGTCAAAATTCCCTTAAAAAATCTATGCCTTCCCGCCTCCTCGAAAGAGTCGCCCGAACACCTTTATTTACATAAAATCTAGGGGATCAGGTGGTGCTTAGGCGACTAATTTGGCACACGGCTCATCCTATTACCGTCGCATTCGACACAGCCAGCCAGATGTGGATAGGATTCTTGAGTAATTGTGTGACCCTTACTGACCCTCTTCTTCTCACACTCAAATGAGGTAGTTTAACGGGGGGGGGGGGGGGGAGGGAGTGAATTGGGCTGACGACGATCTCGTTAATTAACCCCTATATCAATTAACAGGTATTGTCATAAATCATTATTATGAGGGGGGGGGGATGATCTCTGGCGGAAACATTGTCTAGGAGATGTTTTGGGGGAGAGAAACGGGGTTAGGGAGTAGTAGAATCTGTTATCGAAGTAGATGGTGTGTTTACGAACGGTAGCATTTTGAAAAACATCGATTTTTCCAGGCCGAACAGTCAGCTGATGAATCAGCCACGATTCAGAAAGAGGAAAGCCTAGACGATGACAAATCAAACACGCCACTTGACCTCACCGTCAAGGATGAGAGCGACCATGACTGGAGCCCTGAAAAGCTTGTCGGTGCGTTTTTCGGAGAGAAAATTTAGCTTTATGACGTCATTCGACATTCCTTTGGCTTCATGCCAAAAGTTGCCTTTTTTGACTTTGAAAGAACTCAAAAAGGGTCATAGAAATGCGCTTTAACTGTTGAAACTGCCTGAAATGAGTGCATGTAAAAGAAAATTAGGAAAATCGTTTCTTTCTCATTTTTCCTTCAGCTAACTCAGAGCTAATTCGCATCAAATTATTAGCTCGTTTGCGAATCGCTTGCGGATCATTTAGCCCCAGAATAGAACAAAGATTGTTTAAGAACTGTTTATAGTCATCGCCATAACTTACTCAGAATCGAAACTTGCAAAAATTGCGTGTTTTATCTCAGATTTAAGCGAAAATGTTTCCATAAATTGCTTTCTTCCAGGTCTTGTTGATCGCAGTGCTTTCAACCTTCAACAACTATTGAAACAGACAACTAGCAGTGATCCTAGCCCATCTTCTGAAACTCCGGAAACAGAAGTGACGTCTTCGATTTGGCCCACCGCCAACATGCTTTTCAACCAATACAATATTCTGAATGTTGGCAATTTGGCAAACATCCAAAATGTCCTAGAGGTATGTGCCAAGAAGGAATTCTCTCCTTTTGGGTGCTTTAAAATCCGAATTTTTGTTTTAGCACCAAAACGATGCAGATGAGACGATGAGTTTGGGTTCTAATGACTCTAAGCGCAATAATTATAGAATTAGCAAGGTGATATTTTTTCTGTGAGAATTCATAGAGCAAGTCGAAAAGTTTTACTTTCAGATCGTTGAAGAAGAGGGTCTCTACGCATGCGATCAATGTGATAAAATGTTTGGAAAACAAAGCTCGCTGGCTCGACACAAATACGAACATTCAGGTACCGTCTACCTACCGTAATTTTTGCTCTGTATTGTCCCACCCATGGCTTGTTTGTTTGTATCCGTACGATTACATAGAGGATAATCTCGAATAATTAGAATACGGTGTCAGATGGTAGTGTCCCCCGTCTCATCGTCCCCTTGCTCAATTACCGATTGTATTACCACAAATGCGCGCACACACACGCTCTAGCTCTCTCTTGCACAATATCCCGAGGTTTAAGTGTTCAATGCAATATGATAGGTTGATGAGTTGCGAAGTGTGGGAAACGGGAATCTCTGGTTGCGAAATCAGCGAACAGTCATCGCCTGAAATGGGGTTTAGAACAGCACCTTCAAATCGAAATGAGCGCTAGTGCAACGTTGTGATCCGAGTTCGTACCAGTTTGTCTGAATTCGTTGTTTTTGATGAGAGGGAGTGCGTTGCAGCAATACATTTACTGGAAGTATTATAAAATTCTAGGAGATTAAGGGGAAGTTGAAATTTTATACCTACCAAGCTCTGGAAGTGTTCGCTATCTATACCAAGGATGACTAAACTTGCTAAAACCGAAAATATGCTTTTTCCTCTGTCTCTTTCTAAAAACCTCGTAAAATTCTTATTTGCTCCAGTCACAGAGCAGAGTTATTGATATAAGAATTCTACGTTATGGAATAACAACAAAAAAAACTTCAGGTCAACGTCCATACAAATGCGATGTTTGCGATAAGGCTTTCAAACATAAGCATCATCTGACGGAACACAAACGGTTACATTCTGGAGAGAAACCTTTTCAGGTACGTTTCTAATACATCAAAGAAATAAACTTAAGAAAAAAACCTTACTCTGTCAAAAGAAATTATTCGCTGAAAAACTACATTTAAATCATGCAAGTGTCATTCGCTCACTACTTGAGTGATTTGTAGTCTGGAAGTATATCTATCAGGACTTTTATATGGAGCGTAACTTTACATCAGCTAATTATTTCCTCGAGTAGTTGCCGGTAAGGTAATGTAGCTGGAAAGGTTAGGTAAGGTAGTTAATAATATGAATCTCTCAATATTCTAATTTCTTGCTGATGTAGCGGCAAAAATTTCTTGTGAAAACGTCAAGGATTGGGTTTTATTCAATAACAACAACTCGGGTTACCATTGGCTCACGGATGGTTTCAGGTTTTAAGTTGAAGCACAATATTTTCGAGATTTTCGTTTATAAGACAATTTCGAATAGGCAGCGCTACTTCTTTGCTCCCAATGCAAATACTCGTATTGGCTGAGAAAGCAGTCGTTGGTTCAATAATCATAAACGCAAGTAATCAGAAGTTTGAAAGAGTTGAAATCCTTCCTCGTTAATGTTTTAGTTCCTTATTTCTTTGAAGTCGAGACTTCGCGTATTTTCTGAATTTTTCACGTTTTACTGATCTTTCTGTGTAAATCTTGCAATCTAATTTGGAATAGGTCATTAGTATGCTCTAACTTCTTCTCTTTCAGTGTGACAAGTGTCTGAAGCGATTCAGTCATTCCGGGAGCTACAGTCAGCACATGAATCATCGCTACTCGTACTGCAAGCCGTACAGAGAGGGCATGGTGACGGCTGCTTCGGCCGGCTCGGAGACGACGTCGTCGCAGCCGGGCACCCCGAACCCGACCCCGCTCGAGGTGCCGTTGATGGGCACCCAGCTCAGTCCCCTGCTCAGCCCCGCCGCGTCCCTCGTCTAGCCTAGAATTTCATTCGCGCATTCACCCCCTGAAAATTCTCTTATCGTGCAACCACAAAATGCCTCACTTCTTCGCCAGATCTCGTGTGATATTCTACATTTTTGTTCTGTTTTTCGTTTTTTTTCTTGCCCACAATCTTGCCATGTGTACATACTTTCGTACATGCATGTGATGGTGCTGCTTTTCTATGTCTGTTTTTTTTGTATTAGGGTTTTGCATTGTAGCTCAACACTCTCCTCGTCCCTCGTGGGGATCATCCCCGATCCTGAATGCAGCTGATTGGTGCTTGGATGTACATAGATGGCTTTCGTTGCCGGCCGGTGGTTGTACTCTTTATACTCGTCACTCTTCTCTCTGTAGCAGTGGTACGTAGAAACCTAGTCGGAAGTTTCGTAGAAGTTTCGCTTTAGCCCCATATAGCTCTTCTCTCGTCTTCATTCACTTCGCCTGCCCATTTCGCGCATTCGCATCAGCCAATTTATTCAGTCTCATGCTCTTATTTAGAAGAAGTCAGTCAGTCCGGCACATGTGCAAGTGCTTTTATACCTACCAGTTATCACTTGGCGACCAATTTTTTCATTTTCATATTCCAAGGATTTCCGTTCTGCAGCGGTTATCATCTATGATAATAACGAATTTTAATAAAGATGCATATATTTTGTCTTTGTAGTTATTACTCATGAAAAGGTACTGGTCAGTATGCACAAACGAATCGTGTGTTTTTATACAGTGTTGATAAATGAAAGGGTAATTGAGAGGATTATAGAACTGATCTATTTTCTTGAGTTTGGAATGGTAAGTTTTGAGACTCGATTGAGGTAGAATCAGGTGTTCAGAAGTGCTCTTTTCTTCAATCCTGAAAAATAGGCTTGTTCTAACAGCAAACTTGAGGATAAAATAGCAGATTATGGCATGTCGTACTGTAGGAATAAATAAAGTATGAAATTAGAAAATGCTATCAATTGTGTCACAAGCTCAAAATAATTGCTCCCCGAAGAGCTCCTCCTCATTCTAAAATTTTTCTTAGGTAATATAGAAGATAATAACTTCTTGCTTGCTATTTCCTTTATATCAAATAACTTTTTGCTTGCTATTACCTTTACTTCACTGCACTTCCCTGACATGGCTGACATCGGAAAAAGATTGGATTATTATTGAACATGTATCTCAGAACTTGTCAATACTACTGAAGATTTGAATTTCAAAATTATCCCAAGTTTGGATCAGTTTCAGTTTGGCCATGCTGTCCTCATGACTTATCATCAGAGCTTTTGAAACAGCTTTATGTTCTACTCTCTACGAGAAAATCTACGTAAGAGTTGAAGATTTGCTGGTCCGGAACCTTTCAAAATTGTGACAGTGTGGCCAATCCCGTAATTTGTAAATACCTGTTTCCGTAACAGTTATACTCTCGTAGCGGATCTCTTGCAAAATTTTTGAGCCTTTTGTTACCTTTTATCTACTGCCATCATTCATAAGCCAAATTAAGAGCTGATCTGGACTTTAGGTTGCGTTTTTCAATCCATATAAGTATTTTAAAGAAAGATATTGCATTACGATATATGTTACACCGACAAACAGTTCACAATACGATTTTCTGAATAATTTATTTAATTTTGAAGAAACTGAAACAATTACGATGATTGGAACAAGTAGGATAAAGCCACAGAGCTGTCAATACTGCTGCAGGTTCCCTCTCAAATTCTAGTTGGAGAAGTTTTGTAGGAAATGTCCTGTAATGCTCTATAGATCTTATATATTATAATCTTGAATATATCTCCGCGAGAATCTTCAATTTTGTACTATGTTCCGAAGCAATCTTCTCTGTTATTCTTTGCAAAACTGACCAATATCCTGTTACGCAGCTATGTTTATTGCATGTGTATAGAATGCGCATAATCAAATTCGGCCGTCTCAACCTGCATCCTCCTTTATTGTTCGGGCACCTCATCGGGCAGATGGGGTTATCTGCGGAGGAAGGTGCAATAATGTAAGGCGATGTGATGCCAAAGGTACAGATGGTCTATGATTGATCCGCGCAGCGGGAAACAAAGCGTACCGTAACCAGATTATCTCCGAACTCGACCTTGCGGTTGGGGCTTCGAGTGTGTCGAATATAAACGGACAAGGTGCTTTGCACACAGGCTTTGGGATTTCAGAAAATAAGTATCAAGTCGATTCAGGCAGCGTAAAACATGGCAAAAAACCAATAACCAATCCGTAAAAGAGAAGAGAATAGCTAGAAAAACTTCGGAGTGTTTGGGTATACATGCTGTTGCTGGATAGGAAAGACCTCGGCAAAGCTGTCCTCGCTTTCTGGGGAGTACCTGTTATTTTTGTTACAAAAAAATGATAAGTAGACCGCTCTATATGATAAAAATGCATAATGTGTTAGATTGTTCCGAAAGTGAACCTCTTTCTAAATTAATCTGTGTTTTTTCCTTAGGCTTAGTGCGTTGTTTCGTAGAGGAAGGCAAGCTCTACAAAATAGCAATCAAAAATCACGTAATCTGTAATGGTAAAGTTTGGGCACAAAAATCAAATTTTAACTACCTTGAAAATTTCCACAGACCTCTAAGCTGGTCGTTATACAGTAGACACATAGTATTTATACTACTGTGTACAAATTTGGATTTGCTGGTTCTTTGCGTGGTCCGAAGTCGAAAAACCAAAATAGCTCTAAATTGCAAGAATGTCAGTTTTTCAATTTTCACTCAAGTTGAACTTGGCGATCGGCTGGGCACATGCAGAGGTAGAATTCTAGCTTATACTACTTACTTAGGTTCGCACACATAAGGCAGGGGCAAAGGAATTTGTCATTTATAAATTTTTTTGGATTCACATGTGAAAGATGTAGCAAATGCTTTTATGAATAATACTGTGTATATACTGTATGAGAGCCAATTTGGAGCTTTATAGACTTTGTGCACCTTGCGAAAATCCGATTTTCAGGTGATAAAATTTCATCGACTTTGGCTTCTACCCCTAAATAATTTAGCTGGAACTTCGGCGGTCATCTCACTTTGCTCTAACGAACAGTGCCCTGAGTCTGCCCTGACATCAAAACTTAATTGGTTTATTTAGAAGAGGACGAATTATTCGTCGGACAACCTAATGATTTATGAGGATCTTATATGGATTTTCTGTTGTGTGACAGTAATCTCGTATTCTGAACTCACGTGCAACTTGTCCAAATTCTTATCAAACTGAAGCCCACAAAATCTCGTTGATGAAGTTTGAGGAGTTTTGCCTGGAATTTTATTCACTTCTAGATGGCCTAGTGCATTTCTTTCCAATTTCAACGGTAAAATCAGTATTTCTTGGGAATGAGGACACCTACAGGGTTGGAAATACTACATGATCGTACTTCTGAATGCACATAAGCTAGATAATTACGTGTTGCGAGGAACCAGGGACCTAGGGAGTGGGGTCGCCTCGCCTTTTTTCATTTTCTTCTTCGATCTAGCACTGAAAAAAGTTAGGGAATTTCATGATAAAATTCCTAGTGTTCTGCATATCTGCTTGGGTGAGTGGTTGGTTTGTAGGATGTTATGGAACGGTAGCACGTTGATTGAAGCTTGGTTTTGTATTTGACCATCAGAATTCAGCTTTAAATTTTTTGTTGAATACGATTCAGACCGATGTTCAGTGACTGTCTAGTAGAACTTGCTTTGCTCTATCAAAAAAAAAACTCAAACTGCATTCACTCAAAAGGAAACAGAGACTATAATTTTGTTAAAATCGGGAACAAATTTTGATGCTGGGCAATAAAATTTTGAAATCTGCAAATTCTTTAACTTCAATCGTGAACTGCTTTCCAAAATCGTGCCGCTTGTCATCTTATGTCGACATCGAGCTGATCATTTGCAAAGCCATGGATTCTGCCCACGGTAAGGCTCAGGGCTCACTCATCCTCATCATTTTATGGCGATAGAAGCGCTCAGAGCGACAGAAATTTATGACCGCTTCACGTTCAAGACAGATGGCTTCGCGCAGGTGGCAATGTGTGAACGAACGTCCCAATCCGTCTCTCATCCTGACTTTCAAAATGAGAATTTTCAACGCTTGCTGGATCTCGTGGCCTGAATCGACTTATCTAAAAGGCATGTCGACTTATCTACAAAGGCATGTGGACTGTGAGGCTGCGGTAGAGTGCCATAATTAAGCAATGGGAGAAAGTATTGAAAAACCTAGAAGTGATAGAGTGGTAAAGCAAAATGAACAACTAATAAAGTCAATTATCGAGGGAGGTTGCTTTGAAAGTAAATCTCCTTTTGAATATATCAAACTGTTTCGTTTTTCTAGCAGACTTAGGATACTGTTCGATACAGCGAACCAAGCTCTACAAATGACTAGCAGTGATGCACATCACCCTCGACCATTTAGAGTTTGCAGCCAAATTTTAGAAAAAATCCATTGTCTTAAGTCTATTTTCGCCGAGAAAATTCTTGCGAAGCTTCAAAGTGATCATCATAGTGCAGATACATAGTATACTTGGGTCCGAATCGAATAGAAATTCGATCATTCGAATAAAACATTCGAATATATTCTATTCGAAATTCGATATTCGGAGTTCTTCCATTTTCGAATAATATTCAAAACTCGAATAATTGAGAAATCGGGGTTTCGAATAAAATTCGATACTCGAATAATCAAAAAACAGGGTTTCGAGTAAAATTCGAAAACTCGAATAATCAAAGAACGAGATTTCGAATATTATTCGAAAACTCGAATAATCAAAAAACGAGATTTCGAATGTTATTCGAAAACTCGAATAATCAAAAAACGGGGTTTCGAATAGATTTTATTCGAATGTTTTATTCGAATGTTTATTCGAATTCGTATTCGAATGTACTCCGTATTCAGATTATTCGACTTTGTTGCAGAGCCAACTGCTGAGTATCAAGCTCACTTCGTCCGCGTTTTTTTTTCGCAAAACTCGGTAATGCATCTTTTGCAACCGGTTTACCTTTGAACTGTATGGAGAGTCGCATTTCCGACTGCTCGCGACAGTAAAAAAATCATATGTGGATTTTAATTGACGTTTTTTCGATCAATGAGATTGTTCGCACTGCTACTGGCACCAAACCAGCAAAGAAGATATCAAATTCAAGCTCATGTTTTGAGTTCATACTGAATTGAAATGGCTGTTCTTCTTTTTTTTTGCATTACTCATGCTTGCGGTACGCAAAGCCCACATTAGTGAGCACTCTTGCTCGCATAAATTATTGCAAAACTGCCTATTCGTTACCTTGGAGTTTTTTGCGTGTATATTGAGTAAAGGACATCGCAATTGTAGTGGAGAATTAGACGATTTAGATCGACGTACGCGATTTGCCAGTTACGAGATGTCTTCAAATGTAACGCCAGCTTACCACAAATGTTTAGCGTGTACAACTTACCAAAATGATAAATGCCCTGCATTCTGTACTTTCACAATAAGTTTTGGACATAACTATTGCCAAATCACGTCGCCACTGAAATGTCTGCAGTATGCCCAGGGCTAAGGGCAATCGTGCTCCCTTCGCGGAATAAATCACATGCCTTCGTCCACCGAAAGTCTTCGATGAAAAGGCAATGTATCGTAGCATTTGTGGCATTCACCTACCAGGAGTTGGTACAAGGGGGTAAGTGAAGGTGCTGATATGGATAAAAACTTACTTATCGATCTTATCGATTCTTGGAAAATCGTGAGCTACGAGGTTGGGAGTTTGTACAGGGGGTAAATGAGGATGCTGATTAAAACCGAGATCTATTTCATCGATTTCAGCGATTTTTGGAAAATTTTGGGCTAGGAGTTGGTATAGGGGATACGAGGGTGCTGATTATGAATGGATCGGGTTCAGCCAGATATGTCGGCAAATTTGAGATATGGTTGCTCTAGTTATTCGATAAATCATTCGAATATTTATTCGAAATTCGACTTCCAATGTTCGAATATATTCGATATTCATTCTATCGATATTTTTGATTTTCCGAATTTATTCGAAATTCATTCATTCGATATTTTTGATTTTCCGAATTTATTCGAAATTCATTCATTCGATATTTTTGATTTTCCGAACTTATTCGATATTCGTTTATTCGAGATTTTTTATTTTCGAATTTATTCGATATTCGTTTATTCGAGATTTTTTCTTTTCGAATTTATTCGATATTCATTCATTCGATGAAAAATTATCGAATTACCCAAGTATAATACATAGTATTCGTAAATACACAAATTTTCACACATAAGAAATACCGCGCAATACTGAGTAATACTGAGAAATACTGAGCAAAGATTATGCGATTTTATCGCGTCGCGATTCCTATCAAGGCAACTGTTATGAATCCATTGCATGCCAATGATTTTGCATTTCGGTTGTGGTAGTTCTCTGACTGGTGGCGAATAACTATCACAACCGAAAGGCAAGATGAGCGGCATGCAGTGAACTCGTGACAGTTATCTTGTTGGTTGAATCGCGAGGCGATGAAATTGCGTGATATACGCCCGGCCTTTTACATGACTATCCAGCACGCATTCCCTCTTCAACTGTCATAGCCACCGAAGTTGATAAGTTGGAGCTTGACAATAAGCTCCTTTTTTCCACACATGTTTCTCATCAAAAAATCCTCTTTATATCAATTTAGGATGATTAATCTCTCCTTCTCTTTCACATCCAGTGCTCTATCATTTTTCAACTAATGCATTCACCTGAAGCCTTTTTCACTGAAAAAATGAACTGGAAAATCATAGAATACTTTAACTCCTCGACTCTAGTAGAAGATGCTGGATTTTTTGAAAGGAAACTCGATCGTGGACCGAATTAACTTTTGAAAAATCTCGTACCTTCCATAGATTTCCGAAACAAGTAGCACTTTGGTGAGGGCCAGACCACAGTTATTTAGTGAGTATCGCTGAAGGAAGAGAAAACTTTTTTAGTTTATTTATTCATTTATTTACTTATTTATTACGCACAAGGCGTGCCATAACCAGAAAATACAGAGAACATAACCGGAAACAAACACAAAGAATAAAACAAAAAAACATCCAATAATTTAGCTCAATTCCACTCACCAAATAGTTCTGAAGAAAATCAGGAAATGAGCTTGTATAGACCAGGTATGAAGTAATCAATAAGATGTAAATGCTGCATGTAAAAAGTGAGCGGTGAAGAGGAATAAGTCGGAACTTGTGATGCCACTGAGCTGAGTTGAGCTCAACTTTACCGTAAATGCTCACGGTGGAGTTGAACAAGCAGAAATTTGTTTTTAAAGAAGTAGATCACACGATTGTCGGAGAGGTGTTGAGTAATATGTGGAAAGAGAATCCACCATTTAATAGACATAAAAACCTTTTAACATCGCGAAGCATTGGAAGCATCATCTACAGATTTAAAAAGGAAACGCATTTACTTGTTTAATTTTGTTATACACATCGCCAAAATATGAATAAAATCTCCGAAAACATCCAGAAGTCGTCCAAAAATCATAGTATGTCGAAAATTTCTGTAGAAAAAAAAACTTTTCCCTTACCCGGACGCAGTATGGGACGGTAGAAGATACCACCTTTGCTGACCAACTTAACCCGAGAAGAGCAAATGGATCCTGGGGAAGAAAAACTGCACGAGCTTTGAGACAGACTCAGTATGTTGCGCAAAATATTGTCCACTGGTAAAAGTTGCGTGATTATCAAGTATCTGATCAAGATTAACAAGCGATTGAAGGTACTGTTTGCTGCTCAATTAACTTACCTTGCCTACTTTCAAAATTTTCATAGCTTTCTCGCAAATTTTGTTGGGGTCGAAATTTTTCGCGGGTCTGTACTCTGAAAATCTCAAGACCGAAGGAATTTCCTTTACAAAGCTAATTTGAACTCTTGAAAATCTGTAGAACTGTAAATGTCAACAGGCCTCTGTAGGCCACTCTCAAAAGCCTATCTCCCCTCCCTTCTTTACCCGTGACTGCTTCCTAGTGAAGCGGTCTTTATTCATTTCAATGGAAAACCAAATTATACAGGTAAATAAAGCATGAACAAGAAAGTCAATTCTCACAAATTTTCATGGATATGTTATGTAATTGCTCAATCGAAAGAGATTTTATTTTATTTTGAGCGACCACTACATTGCCTAAGTTGAGCTTTCTTCTTTTCGAAGTTTGCGCCAATGGACGAGAGATACATCATTAATAATAATGTAAAGATATAGAAACATAGAAATGGCGATTTTGAAAAGAAACACTCACTAAAACGGCAGAATATAGTTTGGTGTGCCTAAGTTGAAGTGAAAAGGCGTAATGGAGCATTTCAAATCAAAGTTAAATGCATCAAAGCCAGAGCATACCAGCCCATGAGAGACTTGACATTCTAACTATTATCGACCAAAATAGTCCCCATAAGTAGTCATCTCAGCAACAGCTATATATGGGAGCCGTTTTAGTTGAAATGTCAAGTCTCTCACTATATATGTGACAACGCTACCAGCTTCCTTCTTTGTCTTTTTTGATATTTTGTGTAGCTTTAAGTATCTGATTTCAGATAATTAAGTGCTTTGAGACACAATGCTTGCATGGAACTTCATTATCGCGGTAAGTTATTAGGTTGTAAAGAAAGTTCCCGGGCACTTTTGGAAACTTTATTTTCAAACGCATTTTTCGGCGCTCGGTCGGATCTTGAAACCAAGTTTTGTACTCTTTGGTAGGGGGAAGCCTGAAGTTTTCAATACGACTTCTGATTTTTATCGATGCCTAGACGTGTTTGAGAAGATGAAGAGAAGACTCAGTAAGAAAAATCCTTTCAACCATAAAAGTTTTACATTCTGCCTACGGCCTTTTTTGTGCAATTAAAAAAATTTCGTCCAAATCATGAGTGATCTGATTGAAAAGCTTGTTAACTTCTGACCCACATCTGCCTTCCAGCTTTTCGTCGCTCAAGGGCGTAAGTAGTTTTCATAACAACCCTAGCAGACTCCCATATAACTACAGCATTTGAGCTCTCCAGCTCCCATCACGCCCGAGATAGTCCTGCACAAATAAATCACTTTTCGCGTGGATCTCTTTTCCTTCTGCACACGCTGGTGGACCGCAGAGTGCTGAAAAGCCAGCAAGCAAATATACGTTGTGGACAAGATGGTCTTTGCAATGAAGTTTCTAGCTTCAGAAAAGAATCAATCTGCTCGGAGTTACAGCGATTTGCAAAAAATTTTTGCAAGTGCCCGGGAACTTTCTTTGCGACCTAATGCCTCACTAGCATGTAACAATGTAGTGATGAGCGACAGTTTTGAGTCCGAGTATGGGTGCTCGAAATGTTATATAAGGGGAGAGCGGTTGCATGTCGGTTTTGGATAGGATCTGATGCTGACAACACTTCCCTAAGAACACCTGATTCTTACGTGATAGACGGCCAGCAGAGAAGATTCGGTGTTTCAAGAATGTTTTCTACATACACGTGAGTAACAGAATCTAAGCATCAGTTTTGGATGAAAATCCTATAATGCGCATAATGACTCCGAATCAATTCTCTGTAGATGCGTTGCACATATGCTCGGAAGGTGCAACACGGGACAGATTTCTGGGTACGCAATTGTTTGATAGTATCATATTTTTTGTAGTACTTTTACAGATACGTTCACAACGAAAAGTAAATTCATTGAACTGCGAGTAAGCAGAGATGGCTTGGAGTCTGTAAAACAGTCTCTTAGAAAAATAGCTTCGCACACATATGCGAGTAACATAGTGCTTTCCCTTGAAGACCTCACACATTGTAAGGCGCGTGAGCTAGATGAAGTAGGTATCCTTCTATTCCCTTCTGCTTGTAATTTTTTCTTACTTTGTTTAGGTGGCTTCGTGTACTCCCGTTAGTCGTGGCTGGAGGGCTGGTGTCATCACCATTAGCGGCAGTGTCCATATTAGGTTATTGGGCGTGCCTGAGATTGATAAAGGAGTCCGAGAAGTTGTCAACTGGAACTATAATGAAGGCTAACCAAGTCGCCCGCTTCACAAAAAGGATATGGGCTGCTTTGGCCTCTAGCATATTCACACTAAAGTGTCACGTCAGTTGATGTTCTTGTGCGTAGTAATGGAAAACTAGATGATTTAGTGGTTTTTTGACCATGGCATGGAAGAAGAAGCAAGACGTTTTGGCACGATGTACCAACGGAGCTCTGCTCCATTCGAATTTCATCATCACCGAATTCAGATAAAAATTGATCAAACAACAACGAATAGTTCAAGCATTATGATTGAAAGGTGAGGTGCCATGCTAAGGTAGTAAAATGAAGCTAACTATTTCTATCTATAGGTACTTTCTATATAAGAGAATGCGTCTCTTACTTCAACAAAAAGCTTCGAACTCGCCGCAAATGCTGGCACTTAAGGAAAAAGTAATGAACAAGGACAAAAAGAGGTAGCAAACTTGAGCTAAAACAAAAGTTTTAAATTTCCCGCACAAGTTTCCCTTGGGGTGTGCTTGGATGACCGAATGTACGAAAGGGAGCAGACTGGAAGCAGGGATGTTGCAAAAAAGTCATAGGATTTTGCTCTCAAGTGATGAAGTCGCATAGTAAGCCATCTTCTTCTCAAAGTATACGGATGCAACCGTCCCATAGTTCGAGGATTGTCATCAACAAGAAGGTCTACACTTCTGGGACTTACTGGAAAAGGCCATCGCACAGCAGACAGGACGTCATTTTCATGACAGACCACGATAACGGCGTCGAAATCCAATCCTTTGGATCGATAATTTTTTTCGTGTATGATAGGAGAAGTCGCAGAGTTCGTGCGGTTTTAGAAGAATACAACTTCAACAGCCCTTTCGAAAATCTCGAACACAACCTTTCTTTACTCGTACATCCTCTTCGCGAAATCGGCCTTTCTTTGATGCAATTGATAAAAGAAAATAATGATTTTTTATGAGGTAACTTCTCGAGATATTAAGATCCGTCCAGCGAATTTCATAAATTGCGCATGCACATCATTCAATTTTGATTCCTCTCAATATGTATCCAAGCTTTGATTATCATTCATGCGTTAAGCAGTTGTTACGATGAAGAACAATCACATTCGGAAATTGTATTTATGCAACCATATGTTTGCATACCATGTACCTATATGAAAATTCGCACGCGTATTTTTAGGATTGCAGGTCACAACACTTCTTTTAGCGGTTTCATTCTTTTCGAGTAACACAGCTATGAGAAGAACGCCCTTGCGTGTACAACGCCAGTCAAAGCCTGTAAAAGATGTTCCGTTCAAACGCGTTATGCCGGTGCATAAAGCTCAGCCGTAAGTTCTTACATCGAGTTTTTGGATTCATTTTCGGTGTCTGATTTCAGGCAAAAAAGAACTTTCACTGATATGGTCAGATCTGAAGAGACTTACATTCCACATCTGGTCAAGATTGATGGTGAAGACGAATTTTATGAAGAGGATATAACACATGGTTAATGATGTTTACGGAATATTTTCATTGATGATCACCTATTCAGCTTAGAGAAATCTATTTTGCCGAACTGAGCTAAGAATGGAAAATGCTACGGAGGAGGTAAATTTGTACCAGTGCGTTTGCAACGGTGCATTAGATCTAAACAAGGCTGCGAGATTGATACTCAGACAGAAGAACAACGGAACATTCAACCAGCAAATTTACGATGTAGGTCAATGTTGGTTCAGAATGGTGTGCAATAACACTATGGCCCGTAGTAAAGCTGCTTCATTCGATCTCAACTGAATTAAATTTCAGTTGAGGCTTCGACGAGTCAGCTTGCCTTCAGTCGAGCCATTGATTGATATTGCCAACCACCCACGATGATAAGATTGAGAGCGCCACGTTCATGCAAGTACACGAGTCAAAACGCGTTCATCAAACATTCGTATCTGCGGCGGCAGAGATGTGGCCGCATTTGTCAGATCTTGGTGAAGGACGCCAACCTGCGCTGTATCTCCCCATTCACTGCATGTTCGTCCTGACTGCGCCGCCGCCAAGAAGCTGCACACCCTCTACGGCCTGCAAAGCGCCCTTCTTGGGCGCAAGGTTTGTTCACGATTTGTCAAATATCTTCTAGCAGCTTACACCCTAGTTTAGAATTTTTGAATTTTTGACAGCATGCGTAATTTTTCTCTATCGCTTGTACATATAATCATTAAAATTATATTAGCTTGCGTAGACCGCGCCACCACCCTGATCAAGTTGCGCTTCCGCGCGAGACCCTTTCACAAAGCGCACCACCACCCCATATTTCATCGAGTGAAATAAACAGTTGGCAGCACTTATTGATTTAGAGAATCATTATCTTTGATTCTTTGATTTATACGGTCTCCTTGTGGATTCTTATGTAATAAGAATGCTTCTCTCATATCCATCCTCTAATTTGTTTCTTTTTGTACCGAAGACTTCAATTTGCACTTTTTGCATGCGTTTTCAAGCCCATCACAACCTGTTTAATTTTGATTCATGCTCATGAATGGGCAAGTTTGGAGCTACATTTTGTTCTTTTTACTGTGATAGTCAGTTTGAAGCAGTTTTTCAAGCATCCAGTTTCTCCACCAATACATTTGGACAGCGTTTTCTGCAATAGCATATTGTTAATTTTCATATCAATAAATTCGCGAACAAGTAAGAAAAGTCCGCCGTCGAATCGGATGAAAACAAGTTGTTTAAAGTAAGGTTTCTGGAAATGAACAGATTTACCTACTTAATTCAAAAACTAGATATTGTATTCCATACGTTTCACTTATGAGTGAAAGTACATGCTTCCTTGCGTCTTCACGCTTTTTCTCTCATGACATCTCGTTGAGATCTGACGCGACATTCACATAAAAGGGGAAACTTGTACGGAACCGATTAGAACGTCTTTGATCTGCAAAATTCGACGAATACCATGTGGCTTGACGATGATTAGAAGCAAAAGATGTTTTTCGATAAGCTCGGCTTCGATAGCCGCAGAAAACATACCAAATCGGAAATGGGTGAAGAATAATTTGTTTTAAAGAAACAGGCAAATTATGGTGCTGCACCAACGAAGAAATATTACCGCAGTTCATATCAAATGAAACTCATTTTTCTGGTCCTACACTATAATATCGTAATTCAGTTTGGAAATCAAAATCTACGATTTTCAACTCAAAATCCAGCTAAAAACGATTAACTGCGTTCAACAGCCTCCAACGTCTGCATGCAGTTGCCTAACAGACCTTTCATAATGAGGTGACTGACAAACCAGACTGAACCTCTTTAAGACGGGTACAGCCGCGCTGTTGGTTTAGATGCACTGATTCTAGACGGAAGCTGTAACCTTGAAGACAGTGGCTCAGCAAAATGGACCCCTCCCAGATTTTAGTAATGTTAGGTAGACCCCCTAAGTACATCTTCTCCCCAATTTTACCTTCCAATTCATTCGCTTACACACTAGCCCCAAATTTACTTTCCAATTCACACGGCAAGTCCTGAAAACGTCTTTCCAAAAGTCCACCGACGTCCACTTAATGGAAATGGGTTAGACTGATGGACTTTTGAAGCTCCTTTTCAGGACCTTAGCGCGTGTGAATGTGGGATTGGACCTACGGGGTACTTTTTAGATCTACTACCTAACAATGTCAAAATTTTACAGGGATATTTTGCCAATCACTGCCTTCAAGAACGAGTAATGAAAGAAGGTTGAAAGGAAAGGGTAACGGTTATAATCTGAACTAAGGCAAAGGCGAGTAACAAGAAAACTGATTACCTGATCGAATCAAGCATCAAGAATCAATAAGCCGTGTTTGGAAAGACCTGGAGTCAGGAAACCTAGTCGAGATTTAATCGAGGAATACTAAAGCAAAATATGTGACCACGAAGTGAAACAAAGACGTACTTACGCCATGTAATCCACATTGTGCCCTTGGGTGTGCACAATACTCTCATTGCACTTGGTAACACATCGACAAAGTCAGTGGCACTGCACGCAATGAGATAACTGTCTGAAGAAAACAAATGAGAAGAAGAAAAACAATTTCGACTAGAAGAAGCACCCACAACTAAACTCCGTGCGGCCACGCCACCGGCTAATCCTCTCGTTCGATTACAGCTTTTCTTTTATTAACACGTATCTGAGCAGCCTTTTGATGCCGTTCCTCTTTGGAAAGTAATCACTTTCTTGACTCATGACAGCAAATACTCCAACTTTACCTAAACCACGTAGCTTGATTCATCTCCAGTTTACCATATGACTTATCACACCTCGATTCTCAGCATCGATTCGACCTTTTGATCGTTTCCCCTTAAACGTTTTGTGAGCTAAGCACCTTTTTGAGGATTAGCCGTTTCGGCTAATCCTCAAAAAGGTGTGTCGCAAAAGGGGCGTTCCGGCCCCAGAACGCTTCTGGGGGCCCTTTGAGCGAAGGCTAGCCTGACCTAAGAAAACCATGTTGAAGACGCGGAAAAAGAGAAAGTTTGCAGCAGCGTTAGAGAAAGAAGAGAAGAGGAAGAGAAAACATCAAAAACAACAGCTGATTATGCGACCACGACATATACACTCACGAAAATGGAAGATTTAAGAACAGAAATTTTCTGCAAAATGGAATGCAAAACTAAAATCATGAAATGGAGGAAATGATAGCAGCTTGGGTTTACATACTGACCAGATAGTTATGGCACTTCTGAGATCCGCTTTAAACTTTCAAAAAGTATCTAGTTCTCATCAAGACCAGACACAGCTAGCAGTCCTATATCAGGAGATTTCGCTTAAGCGATGAGCACCCGAAAATTGCCATCGAGCAGAATCATGACAGCTGGGATAAGATACGGATATCATGTCAAAAAAGAGGATTTTGATTAACTCGTCAAAAATTATGCTAGTTCAAATGATAGTTGCATTGACAACAAAAGGAAAAAGTGAAAGGAAGCGAAAAAAAGGCCAAGAACGTCAAGTCCGCCACAAGCACAGCGAGGGAAAATGTGTGCAGTTTTCCGTTGAGTTTTTCTGCATTATTAGGGAAATTATGATGTTTTGTAAGTTACTCAGGAGCAACTTACGAAAAGTTTTTCTGCGTATCATCATTAGCACACTATTTTCATCAAAAGGTAGTCTAACTGAATGTGAACTGACTGAAGTAAGGTAGACTACCTCGTCAGGTAGACGGACGGTCAGCTGAAATCTCACTTTGCATTCTTACAACGTGGAGAGCTGGCGATAGGCAGTCTACCTTACCGGACCTTGGATGAGGGCTTCAGTTCAGCTCACCTGAACTGAATTAGGTTTACTACGGGCCTATATCTCGGCAGGAGTTTGTCCGATCGAGGAAGCACTTGAACTTTATCGTTTTTGTGATGAGGGACTGTTCAGTTTGCGTGACCCGACGGAAGAGATGCGTTGACATAGCTTCGCAAATTTTTTGATGGTGATTTTCTTTTGCAAATTTGAACAGCTATTAACAAGAAACGAGTTCAGTGCGCAATCCAGTTTTCCAAAATAGATCGTCTTACGCGAATGGCAGAGATTGGGGGAAAGGAGCAAGAAAGTCTAGCCGTGGAAGAAGAGGGCCTCACTATCTCGATTCACAATTGCATTCGAGAGTGGAAAGGGGGACCATTTCTGCATGTAAGGAAGAAAGAGCAATAAGAAAAACAGAACAAGTTTCAGACTAGCCTGAGTAATTTGATCGTCAACTATCAAACAAAAGCTGGCGATACCCCCTTCAAGACGTTCATGAGCTTTTACAGATACATCCTGGTATAGGTAGTCATGCCTTATACCTTGCACAGGTTCTGGTATCAATGTCATTTTTACAGATAACGAAACCGCGAAAATCCATCCAAGAATATTCCTTGAGGCTCAATGGGAAAGGAGGCCGCAATTCAGAACTCAAAAACTTGCCGTCTAATGACGAAACTACACTTTTAGGTATGTATTTGATATCGAAATAGTTCAGGACTTTTGATTTTAGACTTTAGCGAAGACGCAATCGGCTATGGGCATCCAGAACTCAAAATGGCAGCCGTCAATGTAACAGTACAAGGTGAAGCTAGAGTGAATTCTCCAAAAAGTTATAGGTTCAAATTTTAACAGCTTTTTCGCAAGCCTCGGAGAAACAGCAGAGGAAAGGGCGGAAGTATTCGAAAGGATGGCACATGAATGAATTGCGTATGGGCGGGACCTCTTCAAAGCCCTGCAAATGGCCTTGTGAGTAAAGGAACTCTTTCCAAACGCTACATCTCATAGACCATTTGTTTAAAAGAGATTTTCGCGCATACGAATACGACGTCGGAAACAATAAATGGAGGCTTTATGATGTAAGCTTTTCTTTTATAAAAGTTTACATACTACTATGCATATGTATTTAGAGAAAAAAAACGCGCAAGGCCGAATGATGACTGCTAATGATTCGTTCATAAGCCGTATGCGCTGCCGTCGTAAATCATGAGGATGTGACCATTTTTTGAGTTTTTTGCGTTCCTTTGTTCATAATGT